AATCTTTTGAATCTAGGATGTAAAGCTAAGGAATCTTTCAAAGGTTCAGGCAACTGCTGTGTCCTTCAGTGCATGTGTGTGCCATAAGTGCTAAGGCAAGTTTCCTAAGACAACAACTGCCAGCTCCTGTTGTGCTTTTCTACATCATACAAATCATATCCTGTTCGAGTTAATATTGCTGTATTAGAGACTATAGTTCCTTGTGCTTTTCCATGGAGGAGTGCCTGACTGACACACAGTTTGAAATTAACTCTTTATCATCGCCCCCCTAAGTAGGAGCTTGTGTTCACTGTACTCTTCTGCCACTCCCAGCTCTGCTGCCAGTTTTTCCTGGGACTCTCTGCCACAAAGAGACAGAGTACGCTGCCTGCCTACCTGTCATTTTGCCTTTTTCTTTGAAAAGTGAAGAAATAGGAAGCAGGATTTAGCAGCAGAGCTTGGAGGGGTCATAGGTGAAAGAGATGGCTGAAGGAAAGAAGATGAATCATGCAGGCCAACAGCATCCAGCTGAAAGTTTGACCAAATAGCCTTTCTTCTTTTTTTTGGAACAGTAGCCCTAAATTAGCGCATCCTTCCATCCAAAGGATAGGACGAAGAGGAGGAACGTGATTTTTATTGCTCAGCCAGCTGAGGTTCAAGTCCAGTGGCATCACTGGAACACCTGGGGCAACGCGAGCAGGGCACACCCTGTTCTCTCCCCAACCCTTCTAGAGAGAGCTGTTGGGCTGTCGAGCTGTGCAATCTCCTTCTTGGCCTCGCTGCCAAGAAAAGAGTTGCAACCAATAAAGGGAAGAATGACTAAGTGGTTTTTGGATGTTTATAGACCTCGTCTGTGCTTAAAGCAGTTGTCAGCTTGGTGTATCTGCAAAGTACGTGCAGTTTATAGTGAAGCAGAGAGAGGGGGGAGAATTAGCAAGTTTTTGCTGGTGTAACTGCTGGCAAAGACAGCAAACGTAAATGATGCAGGAATGTAGGACTAGGAATGCATAGACTAGAATTTCACTTCCTGTGGGCACTTGCAGCAAAAACTTGCCGTTTCATTGGGTGCTCAATTTTTTTGTGTCTTACGGAAAAAATGTACAGCTTTGTGTTATCACAGAGCATCTACTGTCTCTTACGTCATCAGAATAACTCATCCCAGCAATCATACTCCTGAGATATAGGAATATCAGAATACTGATATTGTCAGCCTTCAAACATCTATTTTAAGTTTGTATCTAGGATATTTTTATATTCCTGACCAATTGCTTTATTGGCTATTGCACTGACACTTGTATATATGGAACGTGCTTTTTTTCAAAAGCAAGAGTCTTTAGGAATAATGCAACACATTCTCTACAGATGTTCATGCTTTTCAGAACCAATTACATCTATTTTTGTCTTTTGTTCACCATTTGCATTGTTCCAAGACTACTAGAGAATGTGATTCTTTTAAGTCCCTTAATAAAGTGACGTTACTCAAAAAGTTACAGTTGGTGTCTTGGCATTTTTTGTACGTTATGGACTGGCTCAAAGAGAAAGACTTTGAGAAAGTTGAAACCCAAACCTTGTTTATACTATTACTGAGGAGGAAAATATATCTATGAATCCAGTAAGGTTCTGGTTTTAGGAAATCAGAAAAATTTTAAAACAGTTCATTTCTACCTAAATTTCTACCCACCCTATTACATCCACCAGGTGTAGCAACCAGGAGTACATACATGGATGTTAATGGATTACACTGTTAGTAACAGATTGTCCTAAATTGTCTGGTACTTGGACTGGTAGCTTCAGTTACACGCTGGCTGAGTAAAGCAGTATAGTGGAAGATCTTTAATCGGCCGTGGTGCTGCTGGATAACTCTTAGCCCAAACTTTTCATTATATTGTAACAATAAGATGGGTTTTTCGTGGTTTTTTTTTCTAATAAAACAAACCATAAATAGTACTCATTCAATCTCAGAAGTGGGCCATCATGTCTTTTCTGCACAATACTTTTTTGTCCCTGTGATCCTGGATTTTGCTATACTTATTTTCTTAAGTTATTGTAGGTTAGTTTAATCTTATTTCAGTTTGGATCCTCAGTTAAAATGTTATTTTCCATCCTTTGGAAAGTTGACACTTAAATGGCCAATGAACAAATTGCCTATACCTGGTATTAATAATAAATCTGAAATAACTTAATTTAACTTTTTTAAGGATGCACGTGAAGATAACAAAGCAACATCTGGCCTTCATTTCTTCTAAAAAGCGTTATACATACTTGCTGTTATATCCTCAAGAGCTGTTTAGCTTGTCCATATGGGAACGCTGAAGAAGCTGCTACAAAATAAAATGGAATATACTGGTGGCTGAAAGCAAACGTCTGGCCCAAAATGAAGGCTAAAAGCAGCTGCTTTCTGAACTCGACACGCACAACTTGTTACCCAGCTGTTCCAGATGTATCAGTATTCAAATGTTAACTTGTGGAATGAAGTTTTCGGGGTTTTTTTGTGATGTTTCTTTATTCTGTCGTATGCGAAACAAAATGTTTGAAGGTCAGTCGGTCTAAATATTATCTAGCTGTTGTTGTGGAACTACAGCTGACTCTTAATTGTAGCTATGGGTAAGTAGCATCACCACAGTGGTGGCTAACTAACTGGCTCGTGGGGCAGCGTTGCTATGAATGTGTTTAAGAAGATTTTAAGAACATTTAAGAACATGTTTAAGAACATTTAAGAACACTTATTCAGGCTGGGTTACGTTCTGTTTGGAATAAAAGAAAAAAACTAAGCAAATGGTGCTTTTTCCAATGCACTGCTCTCGAGTGTCTCTGGACAAAACCAGATGTGATCTCATTAACTTCCTTATTGCTGAAACCAAACCTAAAATAAGGAATTAATTTTTTGTCAAATTCTCTCCAGATTCCTGTTCTATGGAACGGGAATACTTCAAAGAATTTCAGACTAAAAATGGAAACACCCTCTTCTTCTTTTGAAGGTAAAATGAGTCTTAGTTAAAAAATAAAAATAAAAAAAAATAGAAAGCAGACCCTGCAGGTTTAACTTTATACATAGAAGCAGCAAGATTTACTTGTGGCCTAAAGATTCAGTCAATGAAAACTTTAAGAAAAATACCTGATCCTCATCTGTTGTCATCTGGTAGTTTTCCTGAATCACAGTGAAGTGACTGGCACTGTCCAGGACTCTCTTCTGCAGCTTTAAATCCACTCCAGCCCAATGTGTAAAATATTCTGCATTCCTTGTATGGAGAAAAAATGCCTTATCCATACAACAGCTGTCTGTCCCTACATCAGCAGCTGAATCCAGGCCACCAGCTTCTTGCTTGAAATAGCTGAAGTCTGCAGGTGTTTCAGCGTCTTGAGAGATCAAGCCCAAAGCGTGCCATGTGCGGCACCCAGTGTTTCCAAGTAACTCGCATATGAATCTCCCTTATTTCAGCAATACATTCTGTTCAGAAGGAAAAATACGGGTTTTTTTTTTCAAAGTGCTAGTGACATTGCTAGAAATCAAATAATTAGTAGGTACAAAAAAAAAATATGAGAATGTATTTGAGAAAATTGCCATTAATTGACAAGAGTACCTTTCAAAGCAATTGGAAAAAGCTGCAAAATTCAGCAACTCTCAACTTGCAAAAATCACCTCTTCGCAGTATGGATTTCTGCTGAGTGTTGACACTCATTACATGTGTAGTTTGACTGCACTGTGTAGTCCAACTTTCTTCCTGGTAAAATCCCAGATCCGCAAGAACATGGAGGCTGTTTCATATGTTTTAACTTTAAAGATGAACGATTTATATTTTTTTTAATATTTTTATGCTCATCCAA